TTTGAAGCCGTTGAAATCACTTTCAAAATGGACGCCAAAAAGAATGACCGCAATGAGCATGAGCAAAGGAAAAGTCCGCTGACCAGCACTCCGCTCTGTTCTAGGCCGCATTCTCTCTTGTTTTCTCTGTTGTTTTCTCCGTCTAAGAGCATTTTAGTTTTACGCCAGTACTAGTACTGATTAACATCAATCTGGCAAATATTGAAAGCTGTTGGTAAGCTCTGCGATTTTTATCACTTAGAATGGAAAGCAATGGCAACCTCGCACACTTCACAGTCTTTGCATCAATGCAACGCGCGCGAGTAATGCATGAGAACCGTTAAATCTCGAGAGTAAATTTACCTTTATTCACCTTGATTGTACGCCAAGGCAAAGTTTACGAAACATTGATCATGCGATCTTGGACATGGGTTAAAAAAAAAGAAAAAAATTCGTCACCTGAAACGTAACGGAAACAAGAAAGAACGGAAATGTGATGACAGAAATGTGGCGGAAACATGATCGTTCGTTTCCGACGCGGAAACATGGCGGAAACGCGTCCCGTCCATGGAAAACTAGATCACCATGTTTCCGCAGGGCGGAAACGTGACGGATATAAGCAACTTCCCGTTTCCGTCGAGTTTCCAAAATACGGAAACACGTTATTTCGTCCTGTGTTATTGGAAAGGCTAAAACATTTTTGGATAACCTTCCCATGATATTCGGAGCCTTTCCGCAAAACTTACTTACTTTTTGTGGGGGTTGTGTTTTTCACATTTTATCACCAAAATATTGAGAAAAAGGATTGTTGCGTTTCGAGTAAGACTTTCTTGTCACCTGCTTATGTAGTTTTTATGCAGTTTGTTTTCAAATTTGCAAAAAGTGGCGGTAGGTCCGTGAACAGATTCAATTTTCAAATAAACGCTTCATTCAACTGCAACAGGCGACTAAAATCTTGACCTCTTGACTATGGGCAGCCGTTATCACCAAAAATACAATTATGTCAAATAGCACAGACAAAACAAAACACAAGTGGTCTAGTGGCCAAACAAGAATCGGTTTGTTGAATGATCGAACTTGATAACGAAGGGTCGGCTGCCCTGTTGCGTAATGGTTGGAGTAAAGTAAGAATTCACGCAAACATTTCTAGCCGCAAATGGTTCAAAGTAAAGTCGAATGATTTAATCGAGAGACAAATGGTTTAAGGCATACGCAAATAGTTCAATTTAAAGTCGAATGATTTAAGACTGAAGTGGAGGTACGACGAAACAAGAGTGCTGCGTGAAATTGAATGGTTTCGCATGCCATACAGTTGTTGGCGCCGAAACCAGAATACATATCTATGTGACGTAATGGTCTCTTTTTACTAGGTATACCTATCGATAGAGTGCCAACGAGCAAATCATGCGTATTTTGCATAGGAATGGATTCCTTTTTTCCTAGGATTATTTCCTTAAAACTGATGTGCTATGCAAGGCGGTATAAACTAGGTTCGGAGAAGAGTCAGTCCTCAGACTGCTGTGGCTTTACGAACCTGCTATATAAAAGTTTGAAGTGTCATGAGGCATACTTTTTTGAAAGAATAAAACAGCTTGCAGAGGAAGCGATCGGTAATATTTAGGGGGAAATATAAAAAATGATCGTTTCTGTTACCACTACAAAATTAGTGTCGGTTCGGTTTCACTTTGTAGATAAATATTGTAGATAAATATAATCATTTAAACCTCCTCTAAAATTTCCCGAGGCTTTTTGTCGAGTTCCCGACTGAATTTTAGAATGATTCGCTGCGCTGCTTGAAATGTTTTCAAGGACATGCGATGTACGGCACGTCGGTATTTTGTTTTCACTTCGGCCAGGTTTCGAAAAAAATGGCGTTGTTTTCTTTTCCTTCGTCTTTCGCTTTAGGCTTGTAAATCTTTTTTATTCTTATTTTTCCGTTTGCTGGTTAGATTTTTTCCCCAACATCAGATTTTCCAACAGAAGCGACAATATATTCTTCGTATCAAGCTTTCCTTATCTCCTCGTGTAATCTGATCCTTTTGCTTGTTTCACATGAAAAATTAAACTGTTGTTTTACAAGCTCCTCTTCGTTAAAACCTTACATTAATGGCCCCCCAAATTAATACAATGCATCAAGTTTTCATTTTCCTTGACTGCCGGGGCCTGATTTTGGTGAATAAACAATAAAAGCGTACCACATTCAAGTTCAGTCTTCGCGTGCAGCGGAGGAAAGAACACATGTGTGCCAAGTATAGTTTACCGCCTTTTGATTGGCTGAAACTGTCACATCACCTGGTCTCAGGGGAATCTACATTAGGTTACACTTTTTGAAGGTCGATGGAGAACTTTTCTGCCTACAGCCAAGTCTTGCGCGGCTCTATTCTGCTGCCGCCTCGCCATCCGAGCGTCTTCGCTCGGATGGCTCGTTGGCAATAAGCCATGGGAATGTTTTCTTACTAAATTTCAATTTAAAAAATAGAATTGTAAGCCAGGGCTTCCTTGATTTAAAGCTTAACGCACCATTCCCGTGGGAAAAAAATCAGAATTTGTAAATGCATAAGACAGGGCTGAAGCAACTCTTTAGAAACTAGCGGGGGATTTTAGGTAGTTCATTGTATTTGGAAAGCAGAGGGTTTGGGCTCCGCAGGACCCATTGGACTAGTCTCTGCATCTTAAAACCAGAAAATGTTTCACCTAGCTGCAGAGACATCATCGTTTCAATGCTCTGAATTTTTATTTTCAACTTTTATTCGTGCATGTTTTGACTTTTTGGGGAAAAGTACTGGGGGGAGGGGGGCAAGGGCCCCCGGCACCTCCTTATGCTACGGCCCTGCAAGCATATAGAGAAAATAAAAGGTTGAGGTCAGATAAAGGTGTATCTCTTGTTGGTCTAGACATCCTTTGTTTCAAAATCTTGATTCGTTTTTTGGGGGTCATTTTTCTGTCTTGACTTAAATATATCACATGGATGATCAGCCACTTTATTTTAAATGGCGCATACTCTACATAGCTACATGGATTAGTAAAAAAAAAAAAAATAAAACTTTACCAGCTAATTCACAGGTATGCCACTGTATATGAAACATCATAGAAATACTAGAATATGATTAAAACAATATAAAAGCTATTAAAATTAAATTAAAATTGAGTTGTCACATATACAATGCTATCAAAAATTATTTACAAAATTGATTAGAAAGGCGATTCGTCGATACTAAAATAATGCCTCGTTCTCTAACAGTCACTTTTTGAAAGTTTTGAAATAGGACGACGCTCGTACGACATCAGGCAAGTTGTTCCAGATCTTGGGCGCCTGATACCGCCAGGATTAAGTCCAAAGCGTGTTGCGTTGACCTTGGGAATGTTCAAATTGTCCTTTCTTCTCAAGGCATATGTTGTTTCTCGTAATGACATTAACTCATTCAAGTTCTCCGGGCCGGGTTCGTATTAATATTTACTAGGTTAAAAATCGAACAGAGAATTTTACTCAATCTCTGCTCCATCGAAAGAAACCGATGAGTCTTCTTTGCCTCTCTGCGTTATCTCGTAATAGACGTTATATAACAGACTACCTTGTACTCATGCTGCTTCACAGCAAAAAAGCAACATGTATAAAGCTAAGGTCATAAAGTTGAAAAAACCACGAAAACGTAATATGGGGATTAGTACTGCAATAGAATTTTGCTGTGCAGATAGATGTATTTTTTAATTTATTTCAACTTTTGACAAAACAAAAACGCCTCAATTGTTGTGATTATGTATAGCTACTTTACAATTGTTTCAAGTCGCGTTTTTGATTAAAATAAGAAATAGACAACAACAGACTCTGCAGGTGATCAATTTTCGGTACTGACACGAAAACAGTTCACTTTTGAAAACTTTTGTTGGCACAAGCTGAAAGGGCATATTAAATTTATGTAACCTGAGAATTTTCAGCCCTATATCTCAAAAGTAGCCATTGCAACGGCCTCCGAAAGTTGGAAGCATTTGTAATTTCTTACTTTCCTTGTAATTTCGAAATTTTTAAAACACATGAAATATTTCCCTAAGCACTACTTAAAAAATTTAGAATTTACAAGGATTTGTACGGAAAACCATGCAAGCGCGGCTGGGTGGCAAAAGTTGTTTTTCTCATTCAAATGCTTCTAACTTTCGGCGGCCGTTGTAATCGCTACTTTTGAGATATACGGCTGAAAATTCTCTGGTTACGTAATTTTAATATGCTCTCTCAGCTTGTGCTAATAAGATTTTCCAAAAGTGAACTGTTTTCGTGTTTACCGAAAGTTGATCACATGATCGAGTCATGCAAAGAGCCTACTGTCTGCCCTCGTGGATAAATGGCAAAAAGGGGAGGAGACTGCTTTCATTTCAGACTGGAACAAATGTTTTCACAAATAAACCAAAGCAGAACAGAGCTTATGTTCTAACAACATAATCATTATCAGGATAATTTATGTTCTCACCATCCTGAGAAACCTTTGAATTCCGCCTTTCTGTGTCATTGTCTGAAAACCAGGCGTTTAAGTCAATAATTATCACTATCCCGAATTCCTTTTGCGGCTCTACATAGTCATGTAATTTTACTGAAGCATACAAGATGATACAAGGTCAGCAAGTTTAACCCCCTTTTTTTGTGGTTGATGATATTCATGCTGCATAGGTATTTAGATATGGTATGATAGACATATTGTTCTGAGCATATATAATGTTAGCTTTGTCTCAAAGGCTTTCTGGTTCGTGATTGGTTGAAGGAAATTTTGGGTGTGACATTCAGTTTTATAGCAGCACTCTCAAAGCTGAGGTCCCATTCACCCTGGTGAGTTGGAAGAGAGCAGATCGAAAACAACAAGAGCTGTAAGGTTTATCCCAGTCTTACTTCAAGTCTACCATTATGGTAAGTTCGGGACGGGAAAAGGTTTTACAATGTATTTTATTAATTCTAATTGTTTATTTTACTCAACACTCAACTTTACTTCCAGTTCTTGACGTTTAATTGATCTAGTTTATCCAAAATTATTTACATTCCGCAGACTACAGCAAGCGTAAAAAAAGAAATGAAGATAAAGCTTCATATGGACGGTGAAGTTAACGGGAATAAGTTCACGATTGAAGGAAACGGACAGCGAATGCCTTACGAGTAAGTAATTCTTTTAAAATAATGTTACATCATTCTAAGCAGGCTTCTGACCTCTTTGCATCAAACTGGTTTGTTCAGAAGAGATTTCAGTATACATTTTACGTTTTGCTTGTGTGTAAGAGATAAACAATCAACAATTTGTCTGACCTGATTCTATGACTTTCAACCATAGCACTGCAGAAAAAAATATGCCGTTTTTGTTTTCTAGCCTGTGATCGTTATGGCAAAGAACTAAAAACCTTAAGGAAAGTCTCTTCCTGACCTGGCTAAGAAATCGATAACTAAAACTTACCTATCCTTGCCATATTTCTTTTAAAAGAATTTACGACTACAAGTTTTGTTTCTCTTCAGTTAAAAATGCTAGATCGCAAGCTCAGTTTTGTATGTTTTTTTTTCTTTTTTTTTAACACAAGGAGAATTTACTTGAAACAGACCCTTTATTGTCCCTCTATCTAACGTTTTATGAGATTGAACGGCACACCCTCTGTGGTGTGATTAGACTATGAACACCCCTCCCTTTTTACATTATCATGTGATTTCAGACATGTTGCTAAAGGTGCATTTTCTCAAGCAAGGGGTAGGATAGACTCAATGTAAATATCTGAGTTATAAAAGCAAGAAAGTCATTAACTCAGACTATACAATATTTTAGGATGTAAAAGAAAGCTACGATTAAATTAACTAAGAAAACAACTTGCTTTTAGCGGTTCTGAAATCTTGAGTCATGGCCTTTTAAAAGCGAAAAAAGACTTTTACTTGAAATTGAACCGTTGCCTAATTGCGGTCGTATATGCATGCGTTGCATATGAATTCGTCGTTTTCTTAGCCAGCTTTGATTTCCCGTTCATGTTTTTTTTAGGGGAACACACACTGTAAATCGTACCGTCACAGAGCGGACCTGTGTACGTTTTCTTACTCTGCCTTGATTTCCCGTTCATGTTTTTTCTTTTAGGGAAACACTGTATAAATCTTACAGTTGCCAAGGGCGGCTTTCTTTACGTTTTCTTACTTAACATTGATTTCCTTTTCATGTTTCTTGTAGGGGAACACAAACTGTAAATCGTACCGTCAAAGGGCGGACCTGTGTACGTTTTCTTACTCTGCCTTGTTTTCCCGTTCTTGTTTTTTTGTTTTTTTTTTTAAGGGAAACACTGTATAAATCTTACAATTGCCAAGGGCGGTCTTCTTTACGTTTTCTTACGCAACGTTGATTTCCTGTTTATGTTTTTTTTAGGGGAACACAAACTATTAATCTTACAGTTACAAGTGGCGGACCTCTTCCTTTCGCTTACGATATTCTGACAACCGCGTTCCAGTACGGCAACAGGGTATTTACCAAATACCCAAAAGACATACCAGACTATTTTAAGCAGTCGTTTCCCGAGGGGTATTCTTGGGAAAGACACTTCGAATATGAAGACGGGGGCAAATGTGACGTTAAAAGCGTCATCAGGTTAGTAAAATCTAAAACCTGCGGTGCTCAGTGCTTAAGTCGTTTAAGTCGTTTTCATCTTTGATATATAATCGCTTTCATGCGCGCTTTCCTGCTATTGCTATTACTGGATAGTGTCTTTCTTTTTAAACTCTGTTTTAAACTAGAACTGCGTAAGCCTCTTTTTCAAAATAGTTTTCGTAAAAAGGAAACGAAGAAGAGAAAAACCCGAAATTTTTATCTTTCATTTACGTAGTACATAAGTTGCTAACTAACAATGTTTTTGGTCGCATTGTCGCGTACACTTAGTAAATCTCGCCCCTCTTTCGTCAGCTTGGACAAAGAGGACAAGGGCTGTTTTGTTTATAAGATTCAGTTCACTGGGAAAGACTTTCCAAAAGATGGTTCAGTTATGCAGAAGAAAGTTTCGAGATGGGAGCCATCCACTGAGACAATGTACATGAGTGGTGAAGAACTGAAGGGTTATGTTGCCCACGCCATGTTGCTTAAAGGTGGTAGCCATTACCAATGTAACTTCAATAGCACTTACAAGTAAGTGTTTACGTTTTTAAGTGTTTTGGTAATCTAACGTAAGCAATAAAAAACGTTTTTGCTGCTTGCATAGCCTGGTATACTTCTTGTTTTGCAAAAAAAAAAAACAAACAAAAATCAAAACAAAACAAAAAAGATGTTATCAAAATACGAATTTTGCTTGTTTAAAATGTTCAGCGGCACCCAAAGACTGATTGTTTCCTCTGATACGTCAGGAAGTGTCTAAAATGCTTTTCTTGAGGCTTCAGAAGCCTGTTTGGTTAATTTGGAGCTGCCGTATAACTGTTAATCTAGTGTTCAGATGTCTTAGGGGAACGTTTGGTTCATTTCGAAAGTTTTTCTTGGTGGCTTTTTCATCTCACCCCGAACAGCTAGCTACACTGTATGGCCATGATGGGTCCGGTCGAAATTTCGAGGATATGGAGTAGCCTTATAGTAGATAATTCTAGGTGACGTTCATACAGAAAATTTTAAAGAGGCCTTTTTAGACAGTAATCGCAATATCTTGGTAATAAAAGATGAAATTCTTAGGAGAGTTGGTAATCAAACATTTTTCAATATTTTAGATGAATGACACGATTATCCCGAAATTTGTAGCCGTAATATTCGAGGTTTAGAATTTTCTACGGAATATTTTCTCCTTGAAGTAGATATCTTGCAGAAAAAGGCAGTTCTTTGGAATTGGGCGCCCTTCTAAAGACGCCACCATAAACAGAAAAAAGTTGATGCAGCATGTTTAAAAAGATCGTCCTTAAGCAGTTGAGGAAAGTGATAAATAAGACAGTTAAATCTCTCCAATTACAGTGGAACCTTGAAATATTGAAGGGCCAAGGGACTGGCAAAACATGTTCGCTATAACGAGGTTTTGTTACTCGGTCGAGGTCCTTTTTGACGTATTTCATTCACTATTACTGGGATAAAGAAAATCTTTCGTTATACGGAGGACCTCATTATATTGGGATTCGTTAAATGGAGGTTCCACTGTAGCACGTGCTTGAGGGATAATCGCGCGAGCAGCAAAATCTTGACATTTTATTTCAACTGTGATTATATTCCCTCAATGCCAAGAAGCCTGCAGCCAATCAGAGCGCGCATTTCATCTTAGGGCGCTTACCATTTTTTAGAATTGGCTAGCCAGACCAATGCATTCGTCAGAAGAATTACACTATTAATCACGGCTATCCAGCCAGATAAGTTTATTCCTAAATGACATGCTCGGATGTGATGGGCCTTAGTAAAAACTGATTTCGAGGAAAGACTAAATAATATTTCATTTCCAAATTATTTTGGTCCTGACTTTTGCAAAGCGCCCTTATTTAGTTATTCTGTAATAAGGTTTAAGCAACAAAATTCTATCAAGACATCGGAAGCTGTTAACTTGGTAATTGTAATATTCGGCTAAGATACGTGCTCGCGCAACCTGATGAAGTACTGTTTTGTGCTGATCTCAGCTCTTTTCTTTTTTGCAGAGCTAAGAACCCTGCAGGTATGCAGTTGCCGCCATTTCACTTTATAGACCACCGCATTGAGATTTTGCAGCAAAAAGATGATTTCAACCAGGTGGTGCTGTATGAGCAGGCTTCTGCTCGGGATTCTCCGTTTAAAGCTGTTGCCGCCAAATAAATAACAGGCTTAAAGGAGGAAAAAAGTCTCTCTGTGTTTAAGGCATGTTCTGGGAATTAGTTTTGGTTACGTTGGATTCAAGAATTCGTTTCTGGAGTTGTTAGAATTCGAATGTAGCTGTAGAGTTCAAGTATAACAAAATAAGTTTTTTTCTTTTTTATTTTTGCATGATTTCATCATAGAGACAGAGTTGTTAAACTCGCTTGTAATCAAATACAATAAGAATACTGTAGCTGGGAATTAAACTTCTTGCAGAATTTAGGCCTTATGGAGGTTCATTTGTTTTGTTTGTATGCTTGTTTGGTTTTTTTACTTCGGGCTTGGAGAGAGTTGACTTTTTTCGTAAACACTTTTAACAAAAAAAAGATTATCAGTTAATGTCCTTTCCTGGTTTTTTGAATGCATGGTGGATGCTTCAAAATCAGACAATAGGGGGCTTTGGCAACGACGACGGCGACGGCAACCAGGACGTCAAAAAAGCAATAGTTTTATTACGCAAAACAACAACACGCTTTTTTGTACATTTCTTTACCGTCCTTGCACGACTACGACGTGAAAATGCCTATTTGCAAGTTTTATGGAGAACGTAAACAGGTGACGATGAATCTCTTTTTCTCTCTCTAAACTTGAGTGCGGTCCTCAAGAAATCAACTCCAGGGAAATTTGCCGACACTTGCCATTTTCAACAAATTGGAATAAACGCGACAAAGATTGAAAAAACGGGAATTTATTTTAAAACTGACGTTTTCGCTGCCGTTGCCGTCGTCGATGCTAAAGCTCCCTAATCACTCATTTTGAGACCGATAGTCAGTCACCTCCTCCATCCAATCCTCGAGTTAATTTCTTTCTTCATTTGAATTAAAACCATTTAAATTGCTTCAAGTTTCTATCATTATTATTATCACTATTATTATTGTTATTATTATTATTATTATTATTTAGCTGAACTTGTCATGGAGATAGTTGTAAAATTCCTTTTTGCGAGTTTCCTTCGTGTCTTGTTTCGACGCTCCTGGACTCTATTTGAGACATTAGCCGCTTTTTCTACCCCTGAAAGGTCGTTAGAGTGGGCCTCAACCGATGGAAACTTTAAACTTTTTCAAATCAATAATTGAGTTTCTAAATTATCTGTTAATTGCAGCGGAGAGATATTTAACTTCAACCGGCTCCTGTGTTAGCCATGAAAGCCGAAATATACCGTTAACCGCAAATGTCTCCACCGCATAGAGAAAAGAGTGGTTACTGAAAGGGAAGGCTTGATGTGATCTCATTTTTTTGCCTATTCCTACAAGGGTATCCCTCTCTCTGAGTAAAACGTGTCACTAAAAAGTTCCAAATATTTATTAATATATAGACAATGACTTTCATCCTCACCAACTAGCATTTTTATCCATCAAGGAAGGGTAACCAGACTTGAAGATATAAAAATGGCTATCAAAATTAACGTAAATGAAGATGTAATTTGACCTGTCCTACTAGAGTTGTTAGTGTGAATGGATTTGCATTTTCTTCGCTAACATCTTCATTTTCCGTAGATAAATCACCGACAAAGAGAAACGGTTTGAATTAGGATATATCGAATCGCTATTTCTCCCACTGCCCGTAACATGATAGCCGTAAGACTATTTTGAACCTCGCTAATGTTGAAACCTCATTAGCCTGCGTTGCCGGCGTTGAAAGGGGAAGGGGAAGGGGGAATTTGGGCGCGCGAGAGAGCGTGTGGGACGCGCGAGGGAGAAAGGCGTGATTTCTAAGGAATGAAGTCATATCGTCAGCAAATATTTCGAGTTTTATCTCTTCACTTCCCACCATTATTCCCTGAATATCTTTATTAAGACGTCTATTGGCAGCAAGGATTTCCGAACAAATTATAAATAAATAAGGGGATATAATGGGTCGCCTTGTCTGAGACCACTGAATATCTTAAAAGGGCTGTCGTGTAACCGTTATTCATAACAGTGCCGGAAATATTTTTGTAGAAAATTTGTATCCGTCTAATTAAAGATGGCCCAAAATTAAAAACGGAGAGTGCTTTGAACATAAAGTCATGATTGATCGAATCGAAAGCTTTCTGGTAACTAAGCCATCCATTTGATATCTTTCTGTAGATTCCAAAATGGCCGTAGTTATACTAGAAGAGGGTGCTAATGGGGGTACCCAATTCTCGGTTAATTACTAATTTTGGTAAGCTATTAACTTTCACTTTCCTACAGCGAATATTATTCCGTCATAACCTGATTTTTCCTCCTTTCAACAAGTCAATTTCTTTTGTGGTAGGCCCTACTAAAATCAAGGCATAAATGTACGTGAACTCTTCCACTAGTGCAGTTTATTAGTAACTGAAAATATAAGTCATATAACCAAAATAGATCCAGACGCACCAGTCATGATCTCGTACTGTTCTTCCCGACATGGACAGGCATGTCCTGCCATAAACTACTTCAAACGTAAAAGAAAAAGAATACTTAGATTTATACTTAGAGATTACTCGTCTCCATACAACACTCTTCTCTCAAAAGTCAACTCTACTTCGTTGTGTAACAAACGCGTTCAAATTTCCTCATACTGTTATATAAAAGTTTGTTTTTCACTCATTTTCCTGCTTATGTGAAGAATATGTTTTCACTCCGGTCCTCTTCCTTTGATCTTCGTGGCAACTACATTCTTTCACTAAGTAAACCTAAAACAACTACTTATGGTCTTAACTCCTTTTCTTACTTTTCAGCTAAGCACTGGAATGCACTGCGGGACTTTTTTCGTACCAGTTTTTTGCAGACTTTAAGACCATAATACAGGATGTTACCTTCATGTAGATTCTTTTTGCTTAACATACCTTAAAATTGTCAATTGTAAGTTTTCCTTTCTGTTAGTTCAATAACCACACAGCAGTTCAATAAGTACACAACAGATCAATAACCACACCACCACACCAGTAGTTCAATGACCACACATTAGCTCATTGAGCGTAAACTGCATGTAGCTGCGGGAAAAATAGGCACAAATACGTTAGTTATTTTTCAATAAGAATGCATAGCATTAAGTAAGTGGTAAATACTCATTCAGCTATGGTACGAGAACTAAATAGATAAATAGCTATGTTACACTGTTATTAAGTTCTAGTGAGCTCACTAACATAGATGGGAACATAGACTGATGCTAATTTAAAAATTTTAGTCTGCTCCGGAAGGTCTGTCATTCTCATCAGGGGCACAGTGAACAGACCTGGAAAGAGAGTCAGCGCCGAAAAGGGAAAGCCAACTCGATCCGGAGAAAACTTCAACTAAATAACCCGACAGAGCGCGCGTTGATATAGCAGAAAAAATAAACAAATAACAGTTATACGTGGATAAAATCTAGTTTTTGACTCTCTTTCCGCACGTTTCAAACCGTGGTACCACAGCTGGCTCTAGGTGTCTGAGTCGACTACCATCAACCCATGTTTAAAAATAATGATGCATTTATAAAGTTCCGGAAAACACAAAACTTCTGGTCATGTAATATAAGTGGACTTGCAATTTTTTAATTTTTAGCTGACTAGAGCTCCGATCATGAATATTTCCAGACACTGAATATTTCGAAGAGAAAACTTCGAACCGCGTTTACAGTATGGAAGAAACGTTTACTGTATGTTCGACAAGTGTTTGTCCGAATTTTGCCGGAGTACCTGAGACGATGTGCCGATCTAGTTTATGAATGATTAGATATGTGACAAAATACCGGTTAAATGGACCGTTAGAAGAGTATAGTACTAGTGACTAATCAGTTTAAATATATAAATAATCTGAGATAAGTAATGATAACAGGACTGAGAGGAGTCCAATTTGGTCTGTAATCATACGAGTGATTAACAAAATTTGTTTAATCACGAGTATGATTACAGACCGAATTGGACAACACGAAGTTCTGTTGCCAATTAATCATAACTTTAACAAAATTTGTGATATAATAGACTATTTTTTAAATCAAAACGCAAGAAATTCGAATTTTGTTTTGCTAGCAGTAAAAAAAAAAAAGCCATTTAAGCGCGCGCGTGATGGGGCGCACTGTCCAATTACTTAGGCATGACGCGTACTGTCCTATCAAACTGTCCAATTAAGGCTGAAATCAGGGCAGTTGATAGCCAATCAGATTTGAGAATTTTGTTATAGTTATGATTAATAAGGTAATAATTGATTTTAGAACTTTTCTTAATATGGTTATCGCTGATGTCTTCTATTTTGCGCAGTATCTTTTTTGTATCTTTCTGTATGAAACAGGTCACTTTATATCAATAGTGAAAAATGAACTAAACAGTCCTGCGGATAAATTGGTCAAAGTTATACTAAGATTTGTATGTTTTTGCTACCAACACATGAGTGGAAATTTCCTTTTATGCTTTATCAATAGTGTTAATTATAAAGAAAACAAAACCAGTTCTCCCTGTGAACGTTTGAAGTTGCAAAAAAGGAAACCTAGGTTGACTGATTTATTTGGCTGCTTTTTTATTCATGACGTAAATTCCACCATCCATACCTGTTGTCTACTAAATAGTTAAGATACTTTTCCCCAAACTGATATATATATATTTTACGTTCTAAATGATTACTTTTTTTATTTTCGAAATTATCTTCAGAATTCCGGCTTAGTGAATAGAAAAGACGTCAGCTGTCGATAGAACGTTGAATAAAAAATATTTCTTAGTTAGCCGAAAATCGATCAAATGGTGATTTTTTGGGGGGTCCTGAAATGTACCAGTAAATATTGAAATTAAAAATGTTTTTTCGTTGTTTGCTTTCACATTCCGCGAATTTGCGATTTCACAAAGTTACTAGGCTCAGTAGCCTGCTTTGCAGCCGGCCCACGCACGCACGCGTCTAAACCCTTTGTATACAGAAGGTTTAGAGCGTCTGTGACGCAGGCAACCGGCTGAGCTATAACTGAAAAAATGTGTCATTTTAGGGGAAAAAAGTAGCTTTATTCCATATTATAATACTTTTCTGATATTAGTAAAATACAGAAATCCGTGTTACTTATGGAAAGACTGTGGGTAGTTGTTTACTTGTGCAACTCTTTTGAGGAGGTGACTCATTATAAAATACGATCCTTCCAAGATTCTAGGAGGCGGCTGTATAAAGATATAGCCCCATCCAAGAATGATCAAAGGAAAAATAAATCATTACAGTTCTGAATGATTAATTATTACAAAGATTCCCCTGCCACATAACTCAAGAAACAGAATATCATCATGAGCTACGCACATGTTTTTAAAATATAAATCATTATTTAATTGTGGTTAAGGATTTTACGTAAAGTGGAGGTCATTTATAATAATAAATTCAAAATGGCGGATTCAAGATGGTGGATGATTTCAATTCCTTTTTTAGTGATAAGTGACATCATCATGACATTACTGCACTTGCCAAAAATTATTTATATGTGTTGGCCAACTTCTTGATTATATCAGACAGTCACCTTACTAGTTAAGTATTTTTCGCTTTATGGCTTTATACTTTGAGGAAAATTTGGAAATATATGTTGAGAAATTGTATTTTATGAAAAAAGAAGCATTTCTCTCAAGCGTTTCTTTCGAATCTATCATCATACGAGCTGAGGTAAAAAAAAAAAAACAACTTCAAATCAAACTTATTTAGGGAACGATAGTGGGTTCATGATAGCTGGTCAGTTACCTGGTAGGTTCATAACAGCTGGTCCAAGCTCGTAAGCTTCATCAGCCACGTCTGATTTCAGATCCTTTGACGGCTGAATGCACAAGGTACTTTACTTCCGTTGCTAGGCAATACAAAGAAAAATAAATGCCTTTCATTTTGCTCCTTTTATAAAATCTCGAAAATCAAGCGCGTTTGAAGTTTGTTTGTTTGCTTTTTTACTTCTAAACAATTTATCAGTTAAGTATTTAAATCATACAAAGAAGGGACATGAGCTAACATGAAAGCAATATATTTATTTCATCAATTAACATTTGACTCCTCTGAAGTCAAGATCCACAAGAAAATGTTCTTTTTTTCCAGAAATAAATCTAGAATATACTCAAATTTGATGAGCTCACACTAAAAAAATAATTGAGCTTAGGAAAAACAAATCTACATTGTTTAATTCGCTCATTTGCCGTTAACAATGGATACAATATATCTGATACTAAAATATTTTCGTAGACCACACGTGCGCTACTGGGAAGAAAATCATTAGAAAATTTGAAAACAAATTGTCTTAGCTTAAATATATTAAAATCTACGAAAACTATAAAGCTCTGTGGAAAAAACGGAAGAAAGTGAATCGCAAGATATTTGTAATTCAATTACTCTATTTTCGGATCACTGAATATCTGTTCAAATATATTTAAACAATCACTTAATTGTAAAAACCCTAAGAAAAAAGTCAGCTGTACAAAAATCAATTAAAAACTATTCAAAATGTGGCTCACAAGAGAATTCAAAACTGACACTCAGGTGTCAAAAATAAGACATTTAGTCCCCACGTTATGTATTAGTAAGAAAAACGTCGCAACTATACATGGAACCTCATTTGAAAAATATCAAAGTATAAACTTCGGTGCTGTTTAGATACTGTCATTATTTGATAGTGGATTTGGGGCAGGACGCGCCACAAAAATTCTGAAAATGCAAGAGTACTCTTCCACCACAATATCTGTGCTTGTACTTCTGCCATTACTGGCTGTCTTCGCGGTTGCTGGAAATATGCTCGTTCTTGGTATAATTGCTCGGTTTAAGAAGTTTCGCACCTTTCCAAACATTCTAATCGCTAACCTGGCGTTCATGGATTTACTCCGCGCGCTCATTGAAGCACCCATGTACTTGCTTTGGAGTGTCCTGAATGTCGCATGGTTCACAGGAAAGACTTTTGCGATTATTTCGCTTTTTGTGACCCGCCTCTGTCTCCACCTTAACACCGTCTCCATGTTGGTGCTGCTCGTAAATGTGTCTATGGCAATAGCACTAGACCTAAAATATTTCACATGGAAGACGAATGAAAAAGCTATGAAAATAGTACTTATAGAGTGGGTGGTCTGCTTTGGCGGAACTATTTTGTTGTCGTGGTTTGATTCTGATATCGACCTTCAGGATGCTTCTGTTTTCAGTTACCGTCGGGCGTTTTTAATTAAATCAAAAATGGTCTTGATAGTGATCCTCTCAGTGTTTATTTTGACCACAATTGCTATCGGTGTCCTGGTATTTTTCCTAATCCAAAGGAAGAAACGCCAGGTGAGATCAAAAGTTTATAATAAGTATTTTTCTATTTTATTTTCCAGGCATCCTTATGCCACCCTGATGAGGGAATGTGCAATAATTATCAGAAGGGGGGTTCTAAAATCCAGTGGGGATGGTGGGGGGGCTAAACTTAAATTATGCTGTAGGGTGGGGGAGTTTAGATGTCAATTTTTTTTAACATAGAGGGAGGGTCACAAGTCATATTGATGTTTGAGTGGTACATAATTTATTCAAACTGAACTTCTTTGTTATTGATCTGGCTTGTAAGAATATCAAGAATATCAAGAACAGTACATGGCACACCTAGAACCCGCAATTAATAAAAACTTTGCAATGATGCATAATCTGCAAACTGAATAGCCTGTGTTATTATTAAAGACTTCTTTAAGCAAACAAATATTACTAAACATGACAATTTGAACAAAAGCTGTGAACGAGGTCCTTGGCTTTCCCAACAAAGCATGATTTGCATGCAAGTATAGATCACGCAGAATTTGTCAGTTTGTGAAGCAAATATTGAGAGAGTTTCTTCTTCAATATGATCTACTTGTGGGATCCTATAAATATCAGGTCCGGCACTCACTGATAACAGGGCTTTCCCTTATGAACGGACGCGCGCGAGGGAGACACGTAAGAACCACCCCCCCTCCAAGTTATTGCACAGATTATTGCATTATTGCAAAGTCCCTAACAGAGTGTTGGATTCGCTAGGATTTGAACAGTCTCGAAGTCGGTTATTCCCATGACTTATGATATGCTGGAAGCTTGTTTACAATCAAACCAGCAACGATCATATCCAAGTCTTAGGTTTTTATAATTTCTCACGAGAAGAATGTTTCAATAAAAGCCTCTTGGACCAGGGCACATCGTTCTCGGCGTAATATATCTGTGTAAGATATTTAAGTAGCTCTTAAAGCAATGACATAAAATAAAAGCATTTGAATATTACAGGTTCATTTGCAATAATAATTATATTTTCATCTCAGAAATACAATATCTTTTATCATGTTGAATTGAAGAGAAAATTTATCATTTTATGATTCTTAGCTGCTAACAAATTTCAGGGATGGTCTTATTTCAACCATATGTAGAAAAAAAAGCGCATTAACCTGATTATGTATGTCATTCTTTCATAGAGAAAGCGGTTAAATCTGCCCCGACTCCAAGGCCAGGCTAGACTTCAACTGGATATCCAGGCTTCCAAAACTGTCATCATTACTGTACTTGCATTCCTAGTGTGCTACACACCGCCCCTCTTAATTGCAATCCTGGGTCCTCCTAAAGCTGATCCCATCAAACTGCATTTTCCTCGTCACATAGCTTTCCTTTGCACGCTCCTTTCCAGCGGGAGCAATCCCGGCATCTTATGTTTTCGAGCGAAAAGGTTTCGCCGCACACTGAAACAGCTTCTTCAAGACCCCTTCGGAAAAACCGCTTTTCAAGACACGGAGCAAAAGGAAAGATCCAAAGAGAATGTTACGTGCAAGAATGCATGCGAGGCTGAAAAAGACAAGGAGAGAAACGACCCTGCAGCTTGCTCATCCAACAGCTACATAGATGAAATTGTAAACACAGGTTAAGAGAGAGGACGGCGCTTGCGTAATCAGATCATCCCCTTTCCATCACCGGATGCACATTCTCAGATCAACCCATGGTTAGCATGGGTTGGCAACCATCTCACAGACCCTGCGGAGATAAGCTCCGGAGAAGAAAGTCCAACGCCAAGAGAAGATTATACACAGCATGGAGTAACTGAGGAAGTACACCCAGAACCCAGCGACCGATCATCGAAACAGGAAAATGGAGAAATCCAGCAACACCAAACACGTCACCGTGATAAAAGTTCCAAGACAAATGGAGTCTTTTTTATGGTTCACTCAGATTCCATGAGCAATCAATTAAACCAGAAAATGATAAAAATTCCAGTGAGTAGTGCAGATTGCAATGATGAGACCATTCTGGAGATGCCTAAAACATATCCTATGAGCCAAATATCAAGCTCCATAATTATGGACGGTCCTGCGGCCAATTAAGACATGCCAGCGCAGAAATAGTCATTGTAGAGGTTAATTCAAGTCCCAAGGACGACCCATCAAACCAAAACCATGTGCAAAGTCCAATTCCCGATACAAATTATGCAAGATGGGTCAGGCCATGGCCAGATACTAAACTGAGATCAACCAGTAAATCAGAAAATGGCAGAAATTTATTATAACTAGATTTCTCGGAGGAAGTCTTTGTAGAGGAAAATTCATTAGCGAAGGGGGAAAGCCTTGAACGGGAATATTACGTCACCGACCAGAGCATTGGGTCTAATACAAGTTGAATTGTGGAACTTAAACGGGTGGCGTTCCCAAGCTGGGATCGTTTTTCTGCCTTTCCATTGCAAAAACGCCTTAAGTATGTAATGTTGCGGTTATAAAATTCTCTATTCCCTGACAGGCACTGAAAAACAAAAAGCTTCTGGTCCTTTTGCTCTGTAAAAAAAGCGAACTTCCAATTTCTTAAATTTAATATTAGTGCTCTGAGCCTCTGAACATGGACATTCCCAGACATTGCATATTTCCAAGAGAAAACTTCAGATGAGATTTATGTTCGACAAGTGTTCGTCAGAAATTTTGCCAGAGTGTTTAATGTACCAGTGGGAGGATTTTCCGGTCTAGTTTATGCATGATTAGAGATGTGGCGAAATACTTGTTAAATTGACCGTCAGCAGTTCGGGAGTATGCCAGTTTTGGAAGAAGCGATGACGTCATGATTCCATTGTTCTGCTAAAAACACGCAAAAATAGGAAAAAATAATCGCAAGAAACAAGGGAGCTTTTTTCAAAGCCTGTTCCAGGTCTCCTCGTTCAATATCCGGGACTTCCGAGCTAGCAGTACCGATGAAGAAGCCTTCTCCTTGCTTTTTGAATGTCAAGGAAGTTTCCTGCCACATTTCGGTAGTTAAAAGCGACAGTTTTCAAATGGCCTTCGACGCCGCCGCCGCCATCTTGACGGGTATCGAATGTAAGTACATTACTTTATGTTTAGTTTTCAGTATCTTGCCGAATTTTTACGAAGTCAAGATTAATTTTCCTCAAAACTACAACGTTTAAAGTGTGTTCAGGCAAAGTTTCATCGATGGCAACAACCTAGTAAAAATGGCAACCACACATTGAAAATTGCCAACGGACAGGAAGGGTTACTGATATTGATGGTTATGCCTTAGTCTGTCTATGTAGTTTTAGTTATAATCGATCAGGTCTGTTTTTGGTCGTGTTCAGCGGCAATGTATGCGACTCTAATCTAGAAATCACTTTATTGATCCAGATCATGTGTGTGGATAGCCTCCCCGCAGACGTCCTTTGGGGTTCGTTTGTGCCAAAAAGCTGGGAAAAGGAACCAGGAAGACAAAATGCTAAATATCTTCAGAACGACATACTTGTGCTCTGAGGGCAAAATATTGCTTTAGGTTCGCCTTATGTTCCACTGTAATGAAAAATTTAATTTCCAAATTCAACCCTACCTCAATAAAATTAAATATGTTTTTTTTGTTTCTTTGTAGTGTGGTCACAGGCTTACCCACCACAAAAGCCCCTCCTTTGACCCTTTCAAAAATGGGTAAGAGGGAAACAGGTAGGAGCTCACACTCAATGACCATTCAACCATAGAAGAGACTGTGGCCCTTATTCAAGGGACTTTAAAGGAGATAGATGAGGAAGGAGTCATGGAAGTGGAGGCTTGTGAAGATTTTCTCTACATAATGTTCAATCCCTCGCGTCAAATATTGTTTATACTTTACAGATGCCAAATACATAATATGTTCAGTCCCTGTGCTGTACAAAATGTCAATCTGAAACATGAAAAATGCCACACTCTCCCCCATCAATCCCTGTGCATGAGCAATAAGCCCACATTTGATGTCATAATATCGAATATGTGTGTATTTGAATAAATCCTAAATTATTGAGATTCTCTTGATGAAAAAGCATCGTCTTCTACAAATCATCCTCCCTAATAAATAATACATGACAGACATCTCACATGATAACTATTGAAAATCGATGTCAGCTGCTACTGTCTTCATTATATCAATTAAGTTTTGGTTTTTGGTTTTCATGTCCAAGAAGGTGTTAAAAAAACAAGATTTTGCGATAAAAGAGTGTGCATAACCTTGTTGATCACTGACCTCTGCTCAAATCCGGTGGACTACAAGGCTATAGTATCCCATTTTAATCAATAGATCCAAAAGCATGTAACAAGCCTAATTCTTAGTTTTCCAATATGTATATTAAATTCTTAAGAGCCTCTTGCATTTGTTAAGCTTGACCAAATAATCAGTGAACTTCAGAAAGTGGAATAATTGAAAGCAATAGGTTTTTTTGAATCGGGACAAAAAAAAATGATCAGAGATGATAAGTAAGACTTTCACTTTGTGGGTTTTCAAGAAGAAAACGCGGGCAAAATACCCTCAGAAATCCTATTCGAAAAAACAGATATTTTACTCACAAATGACTCGCTTGCACCAAAACAATAACCTGAATTACAGCCGTCTTCTCCGGCCAGTCGCTCACTCGCGGGAGAGAAACAGAAGCGACGGGAAAAATTACATTACCACTTACTGTGAAAGCAAACATAAGGAAATGAATCATAGAACAACTCACTTTTTAGTTGTTTCCAAAGCATTCTTTTTTCCTTATGATATTAAAAAATAATGAAATAAATAGGCAAAAACTTGTTAGCGTGCTTACCTATTTTCGATTTACTGATTACATACGCAGTGAGTACGCAGTGCCTACTAAGCGCGCGATAAGCTAAGAACTATAGCGCAAGAATGGTTACTCCCTGTCCTCAAGGTACTTCCCAATTCATAGTAACGAAAAGACAAATAAAAGGCTCGATAAAACAAGAATAAACGAGAATTTTGGTCAATACTCTTTCTTCTCCTCTCCCTTGTCCGCCATTTTGTATGTTTTGAAAATGACCATCGCCATGGTGATCATGTTATGGTTGGTGACGTAGACCATTGTTTTCGCTTCTTCCAAAACTGGCATACTCTCGAACTGGTTAGAAGAGTATAGTACTACTGACTGATCAGTTTAAATATGTAAATGATCCGATGTGAATAAAATTATAATTGATTTTAGAACATTTCTTTGGTTACCACTAATTTATTCTAGATATTATATTTTGCGTTGCGTAGTTCAAACCAGTCTTCCATTTTGTGTCTTCCTGCGAATGAAATCTCATGCATTATAAAAATAATGAATTGAGATGAGAGTGGCCAGAAAAATCAATAATTACGCATCATTGCGAGTAAATTCGTCAAAGTAAGCCTAAAATTTTCAAGCCTAAAAGCGAAAATTTCCTTGTATGTTTTATCAATAGTGTTAATTATTGAGTGTTCTCTCTGTGATCGTTTTGACGCGAAAAGAAACAAATCTAAATTCACTGATTTATTTGGCTACTCTCTTATTTTGTCGACGAATTAAATTCGACCATTCACACCTGCGGGCCACTAACTGGTTCAGGGACCGCGCAGGGGGGTGGAGCTGGAGACCCCCCTCACTTTTTCAGATGGTTTTTTACTATGGTTACCGATATATGTCACTTACCACACAAAGAAGGTTTAGTAATCTGACAATCCTGAACACCACAAACAGAGAACAGACAAACTTTGTCTTGAGCTGTTGCCAATTAGTTTGTCGCTCTTAATGATAATCGGAAAGGCAACTTTGGCACCTTCCAAATCCGACTTAAAAATGTCCGGGTGACACTCAACCGTTTTGTGTGTGGGCCAAAGTCTATTGGTCTAACGTGCGGGCTAGGTTGTAACTTGTTGTTTTAAGTGCCGATGTAACAGTTACAAATTTATATTGCTATTAGCAGTTTTAGATGCATTTATAGCCATTTCAGAAGATTTAAATTTGAAATTTTCCCGGGGGAGCATACCCCACTACCCCACTAGTTTGCTCACTCTTACGCGTTCGCATTAGCTCCCTCACTTGAAAATCCGCTCCGCGGGCCCTGTGGTTAAAGATAGTTTTCCCCAACAGACCGATATATATTTTACGTTTGGATGTTTACTTTTTTATTTCCCTCGTATTAGAATTTTTCGCAACTATCAATGCTCGTAATACAAAGGAAATTCGTAGTTATTTTGTTACTAGACTGTTCACAGTCCTCTATTTTTCCGTAAGATCATCGAGATTGAGCGCTTTGTGTGACGGGCTGCCATCTTGCATGAGTGTCAAAACTACTTAGGGGGCGGGGGCGGGGGCGGTTTGGGAGCAGCGAGAAAAATAGAGAGACTGTAATAACATCACTGCAGCTCGCGTTCAGGAGGCGTGACAGGAATTGCACGCCTTTTACCATTCATTAATTAAGAAATTCCGCTGGTGATGAAAAACATGCCAGACACATTTAGCATCGATTGCGAAACAGTGATTTTATAATTTTTGGGGGCCATTCCTCGAAATAAAATCGGCAAACATGCACAAGAAAACATTTTTCCAATCAAAATACCAAAAAAAAACAAAAAAACCTTCCTGTGTTTGCGCAAGATGTGCCTTATGGTATGAAAGCGTACGTTTTATGGA